CCCCAAGAGCCTGAGTCATTCTGGATTCCTCCATCTTGCTTTTACAACTGGTTTCCAAGTTCTATAGATTCTCCTTTTTGGATATCTGTTGAGAGCTACCCTATTTTAAATCTCTGGTGCCTACTTCTTGAAAAAGAAACACCTAACCTGGACTTCTATAATATTTCTTAAATATAATAATCACTAAGTACAGGTTAACATGAATGACAATATAAATATAGTTAGGGATTATTTTATTTTTGCATGGAGGGCTGTCTGTCCTACACTTCTACAGATGTGTCTTTGGATCTAAACTTTACTTTTCTCCCACTTAAAGTTCATCAGAATAGCTTTGTTTATTATTCCAGTTTTCTGACCTGACTTTTGCTCTGTCATTCCTCATGTTTGTGCTGCTTCCCATCTTTATGTCATCTTAACATTTATAATTTTGCCATCCACTTCTCTATTCCAGACATTCAAATCCATGTTGGTTGGGGAAAAGGCCAAGGATCGAGGCCTAACTCAGCCCAAGGACATTTCATTTTAATCTCATATAAAGTAAAATATCCACTTGCTTACATACTTATGGGATGCTACTTTCATCCAGGTCTGGTTTTTCTGTCTTGTCCAGAGTAATAAAAGCAACTTTTCTTAAATATCTTGTTGAAATAAACAGAAACTATGAGTATGGCATTCACTTAAGCTACAATTCCAATGTTCCTATTAGTGAAATGAGTTTGGAAACACTTGTTCTTAGGGAACACTGACTGAATTTCATACAACTTTATAAGTGTTATTAAAACACAAAAGTAATGTTAAACATTACAATTTTTTTGTAAAAGGAAAACAATATGTAATCCAATAATCACTTTATGATGGATACCTTTGTAAGCATTTTGTCAAAATCTTGAGAAGCAGGCTTTCAGACGATTAACAGGGTACATATTTACAGTATTTATTTCAAAGATCTGCCTTGTCTACTTTCTCATGTTACCTCAGTTTCCATATTCATAGATTTGGTTTCATTTTAGAGCTGAGTCAAGTTTTTAGACATGCCTGAATTATTGGACTTTGAACTAAGACCAATATTTGAGTAAAAATAATGACTAGCTTGTATATGTAGACTTTTCTTTATATTTGGCTTTAATTAGAGCTGTATGTTTGGGTCAATTTCCTGTTGTCTAATAGCTAGACCACTCTGTAGTAGTGAATTCTCATTCCCCCTCACCGCCAGTATAACTTGTTTCACAATAACTCAAAGGAAAAATATTCCTTAGGCTTCAGCGGCTTAACACAGTAAAGTTTCTTTCTCACTGGGGCCAAGTTTGCTGCGGGACTCAAGGCTCTCCAGGCTAATGTCCTTCAAAGAGGTGACTCAGGGATTTCAGGCTGTATCCGCCTTGGCCTCCATGATTGATGTGGTTTGAGAAAATTGTGGGTTGTACATGGCTTTAGTGCCTTGGCGTGTTGATTGCACTTAGTCCACTGGTGGTTATAGACGCATGTTTTCACCATGCCGCAGTGAGTGCTGGGAAGTGTGTCTTCTGTCCGGGATGAAAAGGAGCCTCACTGATGGAGGCATGGAGGTGTCTGGTAGGGGAGCATCTTTATCAGTGTAGCTTGGCTGGTACTCCATTTTCCAGAATCACCTTCCTCTCAGGGGTACCAGTTCATTTTGACCACCAGGGATATTTTATGAGATCTGTAAGGTGGAAGTGAAGCACCAGCTGTCAGGTTTGAAAGTCGGTGACTGATGTGGCTGCAGCTTCCAGCCTATGTGGCTCACCTCACTGGTGCAGGGCAGCAGGGACCCAGCAGCCTGCGGCTCCCATCCAGTCTCCTTCAGCACCTCTGAGTCCTGGGTCAGACACCTATGATTCCACAGAGGCGGCACCAGCTGCTTTTATGTGTCTCATGGGTTTTGGAGTTGGAAGGCAGTGAGGCAGAGCACATTTGAGTTTGTCTGACAGGTGCCTGCTCACTTCTCCCTGCTTCCTGCTCACTCTGTGACCTCCAACCCCACTGAAACATGGCCATCACCTCGGCCACCACTGCCCCCAGCGAGCTCCCTAGAATAGTCATCACCCATGTCACCCACCCTCACCTAACTTTCCTATTAAAACCCTCAGAGTCATATGTTGTTTTTTATAAAGCCATGCCAGATTTTAAGGTGTTTACAGAATTTATTTCACTGTACAGTTGAGGAGACGAGGCTCCCAAAGAACCATTTGACCTATGTGGAAAGAAAAGGAATAGATGATTGCAGCTATTGAAAGTTGGATACACTTGTCTCATTTGGAGACAAACTATAAAAGAAAGTGAAAAACACAGATACTGGGGAGGGGGCAGCCTCAAGACTTCTGCACACAGGTGTGGGGGAAGGGAAACCTTGTCTTCAATGGCAGAGACACCCCACACCTGCTCCTGAATTCCCAAATGTACTCTGAGCTGATTTTACCTCCCAAGGCAGAGTTAAAAGGGAATGGACTAATCTAGGGGAAAATCCATACTTAACTTGTGAAAACCAGAGTTTCCTGTTAAATGGTGCCAAAGTGAACAGAGCTAATCTGTTCCCGTATGTTTTCTACCTGTGTGAAGTCTGGTCTCTGCTTTTGTTCCCATGTTGCCACTCTGTGCTTCACGCCAGCGTGTCTGCCATGGGGAGTAACACCGTCAATGTTAAGATGGATCCCTGGCCTGTAGTGGTGCGCTTGAGACCTGGTTTTCCCGAAACTTCCTGAAAGCACCCCAACTGACCAGCCAAAGGCAGGGTGACTTGCGGACACCCATACTCACCCACGCCATGCACATTCTTGTCCTTTGTGCCAATTACCCTCCTGAAAGAGGAACTCTTGTCCAGTTTCCTCCCCAACCTTTCCTCCAATTCCAAACAAAACAACTCTTGCCACACTCTTCAAGGAACTGGGGTGCTGGGAGATGCCCCCTGAGGGGAGACTCCTCATCGTGGTTTTCATGTGACTCATGCAACACCTTTTGATTTCCGCTGTCTTGTGGCCGGTCTTGTCTTCTGAGTGAACTAGCATTTGAAGCCCTGGGTGTAGAGAACAGGAAATCCTGGAGCACCCAATGACCTGTGCTCACACAGCCCTGGGGCACAGAGGCAGGGTAGACATACCACCAGGTGTGGGTCCCCAGGGATGTGCTCAACCTCCGCCCCCAACAAGTGTGGCCATTGGTCCATGTGGTCTAGCTCATCAGTGTAGTGTAAGTCACCAGCTTTTATGTCCTTCATGTCTTGCTCTATACAATTCCAGAATACTGACTTCCATCCCCAAAAGTATGTTATTTAGAGACACGTTAAGAAGTGAGTAAAGCACTTAAAGCATCATATGTAAAAAGTGATACTTGTCATGGCATATTATAGTCACTTATTTTTTTGAAGCAAATATAGTAATCCTCAAATGCAGGGGTGCGGTGAATGTCTATTGGTGATATGAGAAGTACTGACAGGATAATTTTATAAATGATTCAAGTCCAAACACACTGGTTCACATTTGTTTACCAATTTCCCAAACTTCACGCGCTTTACTCCGAACTTTAGTGACTTTGCTTAATTTTAGAATTTTATGTATTTTCTTTTGCATGGAACGCTTTACCAATGACTTTAGACAGAGTAATGGAGTGATATGAGGGCCACGGTTGGCCTCAGCATTTCTAACATCTGGAATTAGTTGTCTAATTTCATAAATGGAAAGCTCATTCTGTCCTCCCCACTCTTTACATAGGGCGAACCTCCTGATTTCATACAGTCCAGTGACTCATCTAGGTCCTGCAGACACTTGTGTGTGTGTGTGTGTGTGTGTGTGTGTGTATGTTAAAGAGGCTCACACTTCTGTGTTTTGCATATCATATGTCACAACCTACTAGGACAGGTCTATGGGTCCAACAAGCCGATTTGTTCTGTGTAGACAGAACACCTGCAGAGGGAGCACATGCCTCACAGCTGCTCCTCCACCAAGCACATGTCTTTGTATGTCAAAGGGATCTCTTGTGGGCCTGTGAGTGGTGCCATCAGTTAATGGTGCCATCAGTATGCAGTGCAGTATTTGCTTACTTAGGTACCAGTCTACTGTGGCCCTGGAGGGTTAGCCCTGCTTTTTTTTTTAATCCTCTAAACTTCACACCTGCTATCCTCTACATGTAGTGTATTCCAAACTTCCTTTTGCTCTCCAGGACCACAGGGCCCAAAGCTTTCTGCTTATTCTCATCCTAGGGATAGGACCCACTGTATTAGTATTTGTAATAAAACAACTACAGAATGAAGAAGAGCAGACAATCTGCAAACACTCTTTGCAAAGACCAATGAGTTGTGAGCTGAGACTATGGACAAAAGTGTGACATCAGTTCCCACTTGAATATTTTCCTAATCTTATCTTAAAAATTTCTAGCTGCTGCATCCTGCATCCTTGTCACCAAAAGTTTCAATATGCAAGAAAATAAGCCCTTTTCTACACTAACTTTTAAAAAAAGATTTATTTATGCATACAAGATCTGGAGTACAGGTCAGAGGTATGGGGGTGAGAGGATTCACCAGAGACAGAGTGGGGAGCAGAACAGGCAGTTGACGAAGTACAATGCTGAAGGGAGCAGCGGGCAAGACAGGAGAGGTCTGCCGCGCCATGTGAGTCACCTCCCTGGCTGGGGATGGAACTCATGCTTCAGTAGCTGTGGACAGCTTCATAGTGCTGAGCTTTAACCTGCCATGCCACCAGGGAGGGCCAAGTACACTAACTTTTTAGTGCTGTGCTTAACCCGCTGCTCCACCAGGGAGGGCCTGCACTAACTTTTTAAAGGTGAAAAATATGGTAAGTTTTACATATAAGCAGTTTATTCTTATACGATACAAATGTTTGCTCTTCTAAAAATGATATTTTAATTTAGGAAACATAACTTGCATTGTACTTTTGGGCTTCAGAATGGGCTTTGGAGAGGAATAAAAACTAAAGATTATATTCAGTAGAAACTGATACTTTCAAACCAATACGGATTTTAATAACAAAGTAGGAAAACATTTCCTTTAGCATCAAAATCAAAGATGATTGTATTTATTTTAATATCACTATATAAATACAAGGATGCTAATTAACACCTAGGTCAAATATTCCACTTGCATTAGCAAACATATACATAGCAAATACAAATTTATATCAAACATCAATTTTTCCCCATTATTATCTTCTCTGTCATGCCTATTACAGTCTGAAAAGTGCCTTTTTAAAAATTTGCTTGTTTTTATTTTGCTTGATCATTTCTGAAGTAGTTAGGCAGAAAAGAAAAACATGAGGAAAGATATTTCAATTCTGATCAAATAAGAGTTGTGTTAGTTGCCCTTTCTTTTGGAGAGGAGAAAACATTCTGTGCCATGGCCAGCTGCCGTGAGCCAGTGGCAGGGTCAGGCCAGGCTTTGATAGAGTTCTGGGTACTCAATGGTGTAGTCCCTGCACAACAGGACAAGGAGTGTCCGAAGAACAAGAGTTCATTATCTGAAAAGCAGGTCACTCGCATTTGTACACATCAGTGCACTCTCAACGCTCAGATGTCAGAAAGACTGTGTTTGTGCTGAAGCCGAGGTGGGCTCCCAGATGGGAGGATGGTGACGTTCTCCTGTCTCTTCTTTTCCCTACCTGACAGAACTCTCTGCCTGTGAAAACACTTGGAAGTGGACTTGTCATCTAGTGCTGTTCGTGACAGTGATGGTCTTGGATTTAAAGACTGGTGGCTTTGGTCTACTTCCATCTAGAGTGAGGTTCTTTGATGACCCGCGGGAAAAATGCTATGAAGTCAGAATGAGGAAACTTTAGGTTGGGGGAGATATTAGGTGGGGGGAGGGGTGCCACCAGATTCAGTTAAAAAACTCATCGCACTTCCATCACTCGGCTCTGAGTGTACCTTTTAAGGCTGCGTGAAGAAGGAGGCTCAGTTTGGGCATCCTTTATATTCTACCTAGATGGACCACGACTTGAGAACTTTAGGAGCCAAAAGGCTAATCTGCATTAAAGCACCCCAATCATTTAAAAGGGGAACCTTAAACCATGGTAGCAATAACTGGAGAATTTAATTACTCGGGAGGAATCTGTGTGCCGGTGGGGGTAGAGGGCAGAGGTTACTTTCCAAAGTGACTTCCAGAGTTAGGTGTTGTGTGTCTGCTCCCCACCACATGAAGCCCATGGTCCTGTCCCTCTGAAAGTGGTCTCTAAGAAGAGTGGGAGCATGGTAGGTTATTTCCCCCTTCACACATTCTGGTGGAATAACTTAACAATCTGAGGAGGAGTTAATTATTTTTTTTTACATTTCCAGACATTCTTACACAGTTTGAAATGTATGGCATTTTATTGAGCAGTCAATAAATTTCTTGGGTTTTCATTTCCTACCTGCAGGAGGGGTTAGATAAATAAAACCATTCTGATTTTTAAGCACAGCAAACCTGAATTGAGAAAACTCCACCGTGATAAAAGGCAATGCCATCATCACCAGCTTCTCAATATTTCTGTCACCTTTAAGTATTTTCACTTACTCATCTCCATATATTTTAATAGCATACACATGTTCTCAAAAATCCTTTCTTAGGGCTTTCTGCCAACCTTTTCTGCCCAAAAGCTCTTAAAAATCTTAGCCCAGACATCATTAGAACCTGTTTTGACCAAGGTACATGGACCCCTCCTCCTGAATCTGGAGTCCACAATCACATTCCAGTCTTCTTGTTAGCGGGAGGGGCCGAGGCTCCAGACACAAGTCCCCAGAGCTTTGAGTCCCTGGCGCTGCGAGCGACCACGGGGGATACTGCCTGCCACAGCCAGTTTGGAAGCGTGAACAGCTTTCATTGCAACTCTCATTTTCAGTTGTTTTCTGAAACAGTCACCCGAGCAGGACTGCCTGGGTCACTAACCCATATACCGTAATTAAAAGAAACTCCACCCAAGCCATGCAAAGGTTGCCGTCAGCCTGGGAGGCAAAACGCCGGCCTTGGCTCTGCCTGCCTCCATGTGGTGTCTGCGTCCCTGCGGGCTGCTGGCCTCAGCCGGGCGCGGGTGTGCTTTCTGGAGGCTGCATTCTGAGCATGGTCTTCTCAGGCATGAGAGCACAGTTATAGATTGTTCTCAGAGCGAAACCACTCGACATCTTGGTGCTGGGTTGTTTTTAGCTTTCCAACAATAGGCGCTGTTCACTCCCTCCATCTCAGTTCTTTATTCAGCGAGCGAGCGGGCAGGACACTGCTGAAAGGCTCGTCACGGCTCCCCCAGGGTCTCAGTGTGGTGGCATGTGATGATTCACATGGGGTGTGTTTGATCCCAGAAAGCCCAGTCTCTGCTTATTCTTCCTTTGTTCTGTCATCTGGCGAGAGAGAGAAAGAGAGATAGAGAAGTTGATTCCTCCCCTCTGACCCTATTGGGGAGCACACAGCTTGGGGGCAGTCGTCCCCAACCCTGAGACTGTCTGGCATCATATAGAATGTATTTGTCAGAAAAGGGAAAATGTTTCTTAAATGAATTTCCATAAATGGAGAAAAGGAGCAAACCCCTCTCTGTGGTTGAGAAACAGGAACCACGGTTCCTTTAGAGCAGTGCTTGCTGGTCACAAAGGCACTGCCATTGCTGGGTCCCAGGCACCGCTGGCACGGTCATCACTTTATTTTTTACTGAAGTGAACAACCTTACAGGACAGAGAGGCTGATTCTAGATTGAGATGGTAGGTACTTGTGATGATCTGCCTGGGCAATGGATGTAGCAGCTACTACGATGGCAGAAAGCAGGCGCCCCCCTTGGGACCTCCCAACATTTTGGCGCTTTCTGACATGGGTCCTTCCACAGGCAGGTCACCCAAGGTGGGCAGGTAGGATGAGCAGATGCTGAAATGTGGGGGCTCTTTGTTGGCATGCACAGCCTTCATGCCTGTGTCTCGCTCCCAGAACAACCTGGCTTCTACCCCTCAGGTGGGGAATGGTCTCCACCCCCACTCTCGGCTCCTGACTCACTGACCTGTTCCTTCAGCTCTGCCAGCTGCCCCGACAGCTGTTTGACCAGACTCATGGTTGACTCCAGCTTCTCCTGCAGGTTCCGAATCTCATTTTGCTCACTGTCCCCTTCGTTGCAGACGAGGGACATTGCTCTCATTCGAGGGAACCAGTCTAAATTCTTCTCCTAAAAAGCAAACAAATAATTGTTCAGAAACAAGGACCCGTGGAAGGGGTCTGAAGCTCTGAAGAGACTTGAAGGGTGTGCAGTATTAGGAACATTTAAATCAAAAGTTCTGTAGCCCTCCCTAGTAGTGCCAGGGGATAAAGTGCAGCACTGTGAAGCTAGCCACAGCCACTGCAGCAAGTGTTCGATCCCCTGGCAAGGAGGTGACCCATATGGTGCGTCAGACCTCTCTTGACCCGCCCACTGCTCCCCTCAGCAGTGCGTTTCAGTCAGGCTGCCTGTTCTGCTCCCCGCTCTGTCTCTGGTGAGTCCTCTCACCAACCTCCCCCCCCCAACCCCGCACATCTGGCATGTACCCCAGTTCTTGTATGCATAAATAAATACATCTGTCTCTGGTGAGTCCTCTCACCAACCTCCCCCCCCAACCCCGCACATCTGCCATGTACCCCAGTTCTTGTATGCATAAGTAAATACATCTTTAAAATCAGTCAAAGTTTCTGAGCCCTGGAAGCAAAAGGTTTCTGGCCACCAACTGAAGGTGGGAGTGGAACTGGGGTCAGACATTGGGCTTCATGAGCTGGGGAAGATCTGAAATAATCAGGACTTTGGTGGACTCACGGGGAGTTCCTGGGAGAGCTTAAAACAGCGCTCTGCATCCTGTGGGGTGATGCAGGCATGGCCTGGAGGCTGGGGAGGCTGCTCAGTGGAGCCTAGGCCTGAGCTGTTTTTCCTCCCTGTCTGGCACAAAAAAGAAAGGGGTGGCAGGATGGGAGGTTGGTACAAGAAATGTTTCAGTTCCAGCCACCCACACTGGTTCACCTCCCACTTCCCCAGGACAAGCTCAGGGGAGAGGGAAGCAGAAGGGCATGGCTGTAGGTGACTGTCTGTTCCCTCTGGAAACATTTTATGACACTGAGGGTGAGGTTTCAGACTGAGACTTCCCTGGTGGGCAAGAGATAGTAGTACCACTTCTGTTTTTCTAGGCAGATTTTGTGTGTGTGTGTTTGTTCCCCTTCCACTGTGATACAGACAATTAACCGGATACCCAGCACCCTTGAAAACTACCTAGCATCATAGAATCACTGCATTCCTTCTATGTCTCAAGCTAAAAAAGCTTGCGGGGTAGATCATAGTGTCCTCTCTACAGATAAGGAAACAAGAGGCTCCAACCCTTTAATCATGCCAGGTTCAAGTCAATAAAGACCAGGATGTGAAGCCAGGTGAGCCCCACCCACTACTCAGTGGGTGTGCGGGTGTGCATTTACCTCGTTCTGGAAGCCACCTTCTACCAACATCCTTAGCACCCACCTTCCTGCTTAAAATCCCTTTTGCTCCAGAAAAGGGCACGGTGGTGTTTACAAAGCCCGAAGTGCAGTGGCTCTCTAGCAGGGTGCGTCTGCAGAGGGTCTTCCTCTCCTAAGGCGTAGTGCCAAGGCCCAAGCTCTGCCCCTCTGTCTCCATCTCATCTGCTCTTTGGATGGGGTTTTGTTGGGTTAAGTTTTTTTACAGTTCCTTAGGCCTAATGGCAGCGAAAAGGGTGGATGAAGGATAAAATGTGTAAGAGACTTTTAGGCTGCATCTAAAGAGCTGTAGCTAATTAGCATTTCAAAGAAGAGTAACTTATTCTAAAGTGCACAGTGACAGCCAGATTCATTCATTCCATCAGTCCTGTGATATGTCATCAGGTGTTTTGAGGTGAAATCAGAAGACTGTCTGCTCTCAGGGAGCTCGTGGCTTAGGACATGCTCCCGGCCGGCCGGTGCGCTGCCCACCTTAGAATCCCCTGGGGGTGCCTGTTAAAGCTGCAGGTTCCACTGGAAGGGATCATGCTTAGTGCAATAAGCCAGAAAGAAAAGGAAAAATACCAGATGGTTTCACTCATAGCAGGAGCACAAAGGACCAGGTGAGAAAATAATAATACTGAACAGCTATATACCAGAGACATTTTATGGGGGTGGAGTGGGGGAATGGGATCAAAAATGGGGAGGGGAAGTGCACTGGACTATAGTGATGGCACATGGGTGATTCAGTGATGGGAAGCCCACAGGGTTACAACTGAGATGGAAAAAGGCACAAATGATGTAAAAATGAACTATCATATATATATTATATAATATATATGATATAATTATCATATATATTACATATCTATATAAAACCCTGCAGATTCCAGCCTTACCACCTCTAACCATCAGAACCTCTTTGGGGCAGTGTGACTGACTCCTTAGTGCACAGAAGCCAAAGAAGCCAAAGAACTCTGGCCCATGGAGACAGACATACCGCTGGGGAAGTGGCAGGGAAGGAGGAGGGAGCAGGGGAGATCTGAAGTAGCTGCTCTGGGAAATGGGAAGAGGAAGCCAAGGAGGCCAGGGATGCCGCTGGACAGAATGGGAGGCTGTGCTGCGTCACCGCCCTGGCACACACCACTGCTCACTAACAGCCAGGGGGAGACGTGGAGAGGCAGACCCAGGGCGGTGCTTCCTCTGGGGTGGGTGTGGAAGGAAGCCGGATGTCAGCAGGCAGCAGGTGGAGGGTGGGACCTGGGTGTGTGGAGGGAGTGGCGGGAGGGTGGGGAAGACAGGGCTGGTGTGTCACTGCTCTGTGACCACTCGGCTCGGTGACTGCACTGAACTTCAGTTCTAATGTCCACCGGCTCTGTGCCACCTTCAATGTTACCTATTAGCTGGAAAGGAGGGAAATGAGCTGGCACAGGGTTTGCTTAGCTGGGACCAAACCCGTCTCCAGCTAACCCGCAGAGAGGGCTCAAGGCAAGATAGGGCACTGGGCAGAAAGTGAAGTTTAAAATTGAAGGACAGATTGAGGAAATGAAAATTCTGGGTGGAGAGTGTCTTACACCTGCACAGCTACCTGTCAATTTGGGCAGCTCGTGCTAAATGGGTACAAAGTATTAGTGGGGAAGATGGATGTTTTCTAAATCTGTTTGCGTGACTCCTTGCCAAAGCCCCCGAGGTGACCTGATGGGGAGGCCTGTGGTCCCGCGGATGAGGCGGCTGTGGGCAGCCGGGCGCAGATCTGTGACAAATAGAGAGGACAGAGCAGATGAGAGCATGGAGGTGCGTGGGACTGGGACTCCATGCCTCGCGTGAGGGGGCGGTGGGGGATTTCTTGGTGGTGGGGAGCCAACTCTGCCCTAGGGCCTTCCACAGAGTCGGGAAGGGGGTAGGGCAGCTACTCGAGAGGAGAGCCGTCTGGCCAGGATGGGACCCTGGGCTGGGAGGATGCTGAGAGCCTCCCACAGCAGGACCAGCGGGGCAGCTCTCTGGGACAGATGACCCCCAGGGGGACAGGTGACGCCACCAAGTTGCCAAAAGTTTCCAAAGGAAACAGAGGTAAACTTTCCTAACGCTTAGCAATTCTATTACTTTGTTCTTTGTGGGAATCTGAGAAGGGAATGTGGGGGAGACTGGTGAAAGGGCCCCAAGAAGACAGAGCGGCTCCTGCTGCTGAGGAAGCCTCCAGCTGTCGGGGCGCCTCCAGGGGGTGATGGCTCTTCCCAATGTGTTCCTTATTCCCCTTCATTTACTAATTCCGACCTGGCACTGTGCCCTGCAAGCCACTGGGCCAACAGTGTGAGCCGCACCCACTGTTCCCGGAGCCCAGTGGGAGAGGGGGAACAGACAAGGCCCCCCCAACCCTAGGCGGAGCCAGCACTGTGCTGAGGTGGGAAGGCCATGGCTGAGTCTTCCCAAATTAGTGCTTGAAATTCCTTCTCTTCTTCTAACCCACTTTTGGTATTTCTGATCTGTTTTGCTTCTTGTAGCTTCTCTGTTCTTGTTTCTCTCCTACTTTGCTGCTTTTTGTTTCATTCTTCCCTTCCCCTGTATACCACTGGGTTCCTTATTTTTTAAGGGGCCTGAGTTGACTATTTACAATGGGAAAGCATAACCAACCATTTCACAAAGCCAGTCTTTGCATTTCCACGACGGATGTTTTCTCACAATGAGTGCAGAAAGGACTTTCTTTCTGCAGTTAACCTGAACACAACAGGGGTCTTCTGCAAGGTGCATCTGCCTCTCATTGCAAGCAGAGAGGCTGCTGGTCCTCTAAGGCCACTGTGGCCAGCAGCCAGGAACACTCAGCTGAGCAGGGGAAGGAGGAAAGTGACACGTGGGCAGGGCAGACAGACCAGGGCAGGACCGTTGAGCAGCACATCCCCGCGCTGGGGCACGGCCAGAGCCCACCATCTACCCAGACCTCGGGTGGTGCAAGTGTTAGGCCCCAGTTACTCATCCACGTCACAGGTCTTGCGAGACGCACATGGCTGGCGGCCGCCCAACTGCCTGGGCCTAGTGAGTGTGACGACATTTCCTTATTTCACCAGGAATGAGAATATTTGACCTCAGGGTCACGTGGAGTGCAGGAAGCTGTAGATGAGAGGTTAGATTCTAGGTCTGCTGGGGAGGCTGCTGCTCACAGATGAACAGAAATTCAGAGCTTCTCCTTGGTTTCTAAAATGCGCAACTCAGAGTTGAGCTAGCCAGGCAAGTCTTAGGTAGCACAAGAGCAAGCCAGCTATCACTCTTGCTATCTCAAAGCTCTCATGTTTGTTTCTAGAGAATGAAAAGACTGATAGAAGTGTAGGAATCTTTCAAATAGTCCTTCCAACAGTTACATTAATTTGGCTTAATTATGTAACTGCCTCATAGAGCAACTGGTTGTCTGTATCAGGCAGACCTGGTGGCTCTGTTTTCATATCTGGTTCTTAAATGTAAAGAAGAGCATGCATGGTGATACAGAAAGAACAGAACAGACTGGACACCTGAATTCTGGTTTTAGTTCAGCTTCAAAGTAGCTGTGGGTGCAGGGCGGGTGGGTAGCAGAGGGGTTTACTCTGAATCTTGGTTTCCTCATCTGTGAGCCAGAATGCCACACCCTGGGTGACCCTCTGGCACGTCATTCTGTGAGCTCTGTGCGCAAGGGAAGCTTTGCAAATCTCCCAGGGGAGTGAAGCCTTGAGCTGTCAAGGGAGCAAACAGAAA